AACTATAAAAAACTAATGAAAATCAAATGATATATTTATGTTGTTGGATTAGAAGACTAAATATTAAGATTTCAATTCTCCCAAAATTGATCTACAGAATCAATGCACTGCCAATCAATATCCCACTATGTCATTTATAGATATCAAACTGACTTTTAAATTTACATGGAAAGTCAAAAAAGAATAACCAAAAACAAATGTGAAGAAGAACCAAGTTGCAGGGTCTATACACCACCTGATTTAAAGACTTACTATAAAGCTGTTATTAATCAGACAGCGTGGAACTGGCAAAAGGATGGGCACATAAATCAATGGAACAGAACCTGAGTCCAGAAATAAATCCACAAGAATAGTCAATTGATTTTTGACAAAGGTGCAAAGAAAATTCAACGAAGAAAGAATAGTCTTTCTAACAGATAGTACTAGAATCAGTGGATGCATAACATAAACCTCTCACTTACCACACCTCACATCTTATACAAACATTAACTCTAAATGCATCACAGACCTAAATGTAACCTAAAACTACAAAACTTGTAGAAGAAATTATCAATGTGAACTTGGCTTAGGCAGAGGTCTTAGTCATGACACCTAAAGCACAATCCATTAAAGAAACAATGGACACACTGGAATTCATTAAAATTAAAAGCATCTGCTACATACGACACTGTTAACAGAAAGACAAGCCACACATGGGACAGGTCACTTGCAAATCACATTATTTGACAGAAAACTGGTTTCCAGAATATGTAAAGATTCTGACACTTTAACAATAACAAAATCAAATGAAAAATGGGCAGAAGATTTGAACAGACGCGTGCAAAGAAAATATATGGATGAGAAATAAGTACATGAAAAAATGCTCAACACCATTAGTCATTAGGGAAAAGCAAATTAAAACCATAAAGAGATATCACTACCTACCAATTAGACTTGTTAAAATAAAGAAAAAACTGACATTACCAAAAGCGGAAGTTAAGGACAAGAAGTCCCTGAGACTCTCATCCACTGCAGGTGGGGATTCCAAAATGGTACAGCCACTTTGGATAACAGTCTGACAATTTCTTAAATATTAAACATATACCTACCACGTGACCCAGTCATCCCACTCCTAGGTATGTGCCCAAGAGCAATGAAAACTTATGTTCATGTAAAACCTTGTATATAAGTGTTTATGGCAGCTTTATTTACAATTGACCAAAACTGGAAACCCAAATGTACTTCACTGAATGAATGGGTAAACAAACCATGGTGTAGCCATACAATAAAATACAATAAAAGAAACAAAGCAATTAAAGAAACAAAGTATTGATACACAACAAGATGGATGAATCTCAAATGCATTATGCTAAGTGAAAGAAGCCAAACTCAAAAGACTACACACTGTGTTTCCATTTATGATATTCTAGAAAAGGAAAAATTATAGTCAAAAGACAGATCAGTGTTGCCATGAGTTAGGACTGGGGGTTGGGGGGACCTGAATATAAAAGGGCAGCACAAGGGAAGTTTGGAAGGTGATGATGGAACTTTCTGTATCCTGAGTGTAGTGATGGTTACAAAACTGTCATGGTAGCGTCAAAATGTACACGAAAAGGAGTGAATTTACTGTACGTAAGTAAGTTTAAAAGAAATGCAGCCTGGACTCTCCCTTAAAAATTATGAATACGAATACCAATAAGCACAAGTCTTTTAACGAGAAGAGTGTTAACCCACATATCTAACACTCATGACCTAAAACATGGACACCGCCTGTATAGTAAAGCACTTCAAATTCTGCACTTACCAGAAGTAAAGGTTAAGTGCTACATAAGCTTAGGCTGTGCAGAAACAGTCTCATCCGTTGGGAAGATAACCCCCCACTTTCTGGACAGAAAAGACCCAGTAAATCAGCATGGGCCTCAGTTATACCAAATTCCCCATTATGAGCAAGTGGATTGTACTGAGTTCATAAGCTACTCAGTGGTTGAAATTAATGAATGATTCTTACTCCTCCTGAAAATTTTCCTGACACAGCTGGTTTATTTCCAAATGATGACTTCAAATATTATTTTGTACTTGGTAAGATTTTCATACCAGGTTCCAGAGAATCAGAAAAAAGGGGAAGGAGGGATACCCATTTCCCCGTTTTCAACAAACCTTACTTAAGTTTTCCCTAAGAATGGGAATTATGAGTTTTGCACTCAGGAATAAAACCAGATTCATTCAGTATTATTTCACGAAGAACAAAATCTATGAACAAATAAAAATGTTAGCTTTAAGTTTTTCATGGAACGGTCAAGTCCCCAGAAATGTCATGACATCATCTACTTGGCATTCCGTTTTCTTTCTCCAGGACTGAAGTGAGAGGGGAGTTTATATAATAATGATTTTGTGGGCACTACGGCAGGAGACGAACAAGAGAAGGAGAAATAAAGTGGCTTCTGTGCTTTTCCGTTTCCTCGGCACATATCCCAGTCAGTGAATCAAAGCTCAACTTTCTTCAGACGAGGGGGCTGTTGCTTTCTGGCTTTTCTATGACATCCTTCTGGCTTTAGGCCTGGACTTTTTTTTTTTTTAAACAAACTTTAATATGGGCACAGAACCATGACTCTATGGTGCTTTAAAACAGCAATGAGTCATTAGCACTGATTCAGAATAAACAATATATTAAAGCCTAAAAGATATGAGAAATCTCCATAGCCCTAAAATAGCTCATTAATCCATTTATTCAAACATTATGGAGCACATATTGTCCCAAACAAGCTGATAAAGGAGAGTATAAAATTCAGGAAACAAAATGTAAAAATATGGAGAAAGGCAGAACTGAAGTTTTCAGGGGAAGAAATCTAAAGTTTTAAAAAGAAAGCTGTGATTCAAAACAGTGAGGTTAACAGAAAGAAGGGATAGTGAATATCTGAACCGGCATAGAACTAGGGCTACGGTGACACCTCTGAGTGGAAGGGGGCAGGCAAGCTGTGCCAGCCTGGCCACCCTGACATGGCTTTCACTCAACTGCCCAGCTCCAACAGGGGCTGCTCAGAAGTCACCCCATATGAGGGTGAGGATGCGCGTACCCGCCAGGCAATACGGCCCCATCCTTCATTCTACAATACTATGACAATTTGACATTTGTGAAAATTTTAAAAAAGCAAAAGCAAAACAACTTTTTAAAAATAAGTGACTCCATCGCCGGCGACGGCATGGGCTGCAGCCCCTGTGGCAGTGGGTTGCCATGGGCTACCGTATGTAGCCAGCAGCCAGCGTGAGCGGCCAGCAGCCGCAGTGAGCGGCCGTCCAGAAGCCGGCGACTGATCTGCCTCACCCGGGAAGAGTACAGTGATGGTGCCAACTTGGGCCAGTGAAGCAACGTCCTCCACAAGTAGACTGAAGAACAAAACGACAGCAACTTGTCTGTTCCCCTTCCCCAATTCCCCACCGCTGTTCTCATCCCCCCAATTCCCCAAAAAAAAAAATTTAAAAAAAAAAAAAAGTAACTCCATCTTTTTAAAAAATTTCAGAGAAACATAAAATGTAAAACAAAGTACAAAGTAAAGTTTTAGATCGTAACTTTCTTATCCTGAGGTTACTAATTCTAACTAAATATTAGCTGATCCACATGTCACATAATGCAAACAGAGCAAGCTTTGGGATCAGATTCAAATTCTTTTTTTTTTATTTTTTTATTTTTAACTGAGCCATCCTGCCACCTGTTGGCAGCTCAGCAGCTGTTCAGCTCGGGTCGGGACTCGAACCGTTGTTGCTCAGCGCTTGCAGTCGTGAGCAAGCTCTTAACCAACTGAGCCACTCAGCTGGCCCTCAAATTCTTTTTTTAGCAATACTGAGCCCAGCGTGTTTAATGTCTGAACTGAGGACGCACAAGAAAAGTGTGTGGGCACACCTGGCACGTACGGATAAACTTCATGGTGGCGCTGGAAGCATCCTGAGCTGGCTTTGCCATCCGCCCCTCTCTAAATGCTTTGTCTCCCCTCTCACTGAGTGAGGATTAGACCCTCTAGTGGGAAAGAAGCCTCCCTTCGTGGCCTCCACGTTTCTTCTCGCTCGTTTCAGGGTAGCCTGCTGAAGTCGCTCACACCTCCCTTAGAGGCTTGCTAGTTCAGACCTTCTAAGCCTTTCTCTCACTTGGATCCTTTCCTTGCTAAACCTACTAGTTTTATTTATCTGAAAAATTTCTAGCTATAAACTAAAACTCTTTCTAATCTTTAGTAAAGCTTGGCTTCTTTACAAACTTTTATTCCAAGACAAACACACTGAGTCCTGAGTACTAATATTTCAGGTTCTGTACTAGGTTAGAGATTAAAAAAAATAAATCAGTGACAGTTCTCAACACAGACACAGAAATACTGTCTGTGTATTTACAAGAGGTGCTGATAACACCCTTGGTGGGTTATTGACCAGATTATTTGGGGCAGGTCAAGTGTGGAAACATGACACCTCAAATAAAGAAAGAAAAAGGAGAGGGTAATAATCAATGACAAATACAAACATTTAAGTATCAATAGTCACCTAAATAATTGAGTAGAAAGCTTGGCAATTTACCACATTAACAGTGAGCAGCTCTGTGGCTTCTACACTAATGTTTACACTTCTAGTGAAAACGACGCAGCTGGGCTGCATAATGTGTTTCCATCAGATGGGTTGCATATTTTTATTTCCACTTTAGACTATCTGGATCATTTCTATTTTCTCAGGTATCATTTTTCACATTTAAAAAAATTCACATATTTCTTTTATAGGAAAAGGTGTAGCAATAAAGACAATGACTTTGCTAGAATTCAAGGTATGTACACAAGAACTCTGATAGGAAATTTTATGAAACATTCTTGGTTAGGTGTTTATGTAACTTTCAAATATATGTACAATATGTATAGCTGTGTGTAGCCACTGCTCCAAACTCATACATCTTGAGTTTGGATGGCAAGTGCCAGTGCTGCTTTACACCAGGATACTCTCACTGGGGTCTTTTTACTTGTCATCCTGAGTTCAGGGTTACACACACTCACCTGTGACTTGCTTATCTGGAAGAGAAGGGATTGGAATGGCTGACCCAAACTTAACCAGGAGGCGCTCATATAACCAGTCAAAGTGTTTATACCTGTGGTTTACAGCTCGATTAGTGTTCTACAAAATAAGGGAAGAGGAGAAAAAGTTACCAATGCCAAAGACAGGAACTGAAGAAGAAAGCCAATTGTAACGAGCACTGTAAGCATGACGGCTTTTGGTAACTCGGATACTTACAGTGGGCGTTAACTGATATTCAATGTAGCTCTTCAGCCCGTACATTTTGGACCCTTTCCTGGGATCTGCTACCACACAGTCAAATGTGGAGGTAGGATAAACCCACATCGGGCCATAATCTCCAACCTGTACAACGTTCCAGGGAGAGTTAATTTTGTTACACGAAAAAATAGTAAATAAATTTGATATAAGTCATCAAGTGTTTCTTTTTAGGACCAGAAGTCCTTTGGAGAGTCATTGCTGCTCTTCTGGGAGAGGTGACATAAATGCTGCATGTTCCTGCTGAGGTGACAGCTGAAGAACACACTCGCCAGGCCCAACTCCTGGCTCCCCATGTGGGCATTTCCCTGGTGGGCGTGCTGGATGGAACAGTTTTTCTCTCTGGTCTAGTGGTCTTACTTAGATGTATGAAGGGCTAGTTTTAAAAAATTTCTTATGTATCATGGGCTGATAGTTTGTGAAATATAAAATTACACCCTTGGATGTCTCAACAGTGTCAAATTGCCATCAAACTTTCTCAACACTTATTCTCCTTTTCTGTACACCCTGTCCTAATTATTTGTAAAGGTGGAAGGAGGAAACAGTGCGTGGGGTATGAAAGTTCAGAGGTTACTAGGTCAGGATGGTGACTGGGGCCCAGAGAATTTGAATAAGGGATACAGAGAAGACCTCTGAGAACAAGGTGCTCTGGCTCCTCAAGAGGGGGCCGGATCCAGAAAACTCTTACAGCTGCAGAACAGAATCTTTAAGAGGAGCTTCTGGGCAACTTCCCACAACTCTGATCAACTGGGGCTCAATACCCACGGGGTCACATTTTATTAGTGGGCAGGGTTACTGCGCCTTAAAAGCGAAGAGCCAGGTCTCTGCTTTCTCTTGGTTTCCTAAATCCTCGGTGGCTCTCTTCGGCTTCCTTTCCCACGCGGGAAGCCCATGCAGGCCTGCCTGCAAGGCACACGGCCCAGATCGACCTAAACGCTGCGTGACAACTCAAGCGCCGGGGTCCTTTAGCTCTGTTCCACCACTGCCAGGCTTGTGACAAAGTCCCCTCTGAGAATCTGAGGGGCAGGGCCACTGGCTCTTAACTGTGTGGAGTTTTAAATTTAATGTAAAGAACAATGATACATGTTCAGTATTTACAAAAAAGTCTGAAGAAAAAGAAAATAAAATAATCTTTAACCACTCAGAGGGCAACGACCCCAAATTTGCTTTGAGGAAAGAAGTATAAAAGGGGCTCTTGGTCATAGCTTTTCTCTCCTTTTCAAAGATGTAAGAACAAGTAATAAAATAAACCCAGTATCATTTTTAAAATAGTATCAAATTTTCTAGGACCCAGAGATCCTAGAATAAGGCCAGGTGTTTCCTCATCCTTGTTTGAGTCCATGGTGATTACACTAAAGGTTTTCCTTATCTTATTGTTACAGGGTTAAGTCAGCTGGGTCAGAAGATAGCCACAGTTCTTTTCCAGAATTTCATCTGGGAATGTACAGCTATATAATGCTTAAATAGAAAACCTACCAGCAATGACCATTTGGGTGAAACCAAAGAGCCCGTGCATGTTAGATAATAACCAGGTTATTCTAAGACAGTCTTAATGGTGTCATTAACTCCTAGCTTTTAGTTGCTCCTTATTGTGACCTGGCAGCTGGTTTACTGGAAGACAGGCTAATTATTATGCACACAGTGGAAACAGCACCTTATTCTGATAACAGGCATGTACTTTGCCAGGGTAGACACCTAAATATTTGAGTTGGGTTTATTAGCTAAATATATAGGGCTGGTTGAAACAGATACTTCAAGTCACCTTAAAGAAAAATTATTAGAAGAATATATACTATGGGTGCTGCTGGTTCAAGTACTAAGTCTGAAAGGTAAATATAAAGAATATCTAAACAATATAATGACAGGCATTAATTTATGCTAATTATCTTTAGTACTCTTAAAATACTAACACATACTGTCAGTTATTTGGAGCATTAAATGTGTTTAAAAATATTTTCCCAATGACTAATAACCCTCTTAGTTTTAAAGCATTATAAAAGAGCTTAATGAGAAACAGAACAGCCAACAAACAAAAATGAACAGACTTACAATGATAGTAATTTTCTCTTTGGGTTTTGCTAGTTGCTTGGCCAACAAATACTGTTCCATCCCAGGTTTCGCAAATCCGGGAAACCTAATCATGAAGACAAATGCTAGTGAGTCTTACGTCTTTCCGTAAAAAAGAATTCTACAGCTCTCGTCCACATTTACTTAACACAACAGTTTTAACCTTGCTCTGTCTTTCAGATGTACTAGAACTAGGAAACTGTGGTAAATGAAACCTAATGTAATCAGATTGTTCAATGGCCAATTAGTCATTTAATTAAGCTTTATCTAGTAAGAGAACAGTTTGACTTTAGAAGGTGAGATGTTTATGGTATCTATTTGCTTAACTGGATCTGAAATACTCTATCACTCCACAAAGAGTGAAGGACCCAGTAAAATGTCCCCCCCAGGTCACAGGAGGAGGTGGTACTGAGCATACCAATTGGAGCTGATCACACGGGGCAGCGGCCACAGACCGCCATTCCTCCCACACTGCCATTTCTATAGCCAAATCGAAGCTGCTTTTCAACATTCTCATCTCTGGGAAGCCACCATTACCCCAAAGAAGCTGCCACTGTTCATAAGCACTTGTGCATTTTCTTTTGGAACTACTTCAAACTAATTTAGGAGACAACAGAAAACCAGTCTTCTTAGTAAAGACCTAAAACTTAATAAAACTGGCTAGTTCCCGAAATCAAATCTAAATCCAAAGCAAATTTCTAAAATTGGAGAAAAGATGAAATAAATTTGAATAGCCATCCAAAGTGTGACTTCTAAAGAAAAGATTAATTTGGGTTTTAGGATTTTTTTAATAAATAGGAAAGGGGGGGAAAAATACCCCAGAAAGCAAAATACCTAAAATAGGAAAAGATCTTATTTCTACAGAAAACCAGCTATTGTACATTATTTTTAATTTCGTTCATATACCAGGTTTAGGTCAATGTGATGCTCTCAGGGGCCCGTATCTTTTTCTTCATTCTTGACTGACTTCCCTCCCTTCCCTTTTCTCCAGACATTCTTTGAAACACAGCTCATACAAGAGACAGCCAAGAGGGGTCTAGGAACTGGGTGGCCCTGGGTTTGAATTCCAGCTCCAGCACTTAATACCTATGTGACCTTCGGATCTCCAGCCTCCTTGTGGGAAGAACTGGACCAACATGACCTACCTTTTCAGGTGATGAGGGAATTAAAAGATTTATGTAAAAAGCTTAGTAAGGACTCATAAATTTAAATCATTTCAAAGTGCACCATCATCTCTTCGAAAGTATTTCCTACAGCTGCAGGCAGAGCTTTCTCTGCGCTTCCTCAACATTCTGAGCACACCTCTGCTCTACAGCTGCCATCACCCACTGGCCCATGACAACAGCCTAGGAGTATCTCAGACAAAGTATTTGTGCTTCCAGGACCTAGAGGAGTTAGAGGAATACACTAAATGCTTAATGAATTAATGGGCTAGCCTGGAACACTTTTATTGAAGAATCTACACTTCTGGCAGAAAATGCTAAGGGGAAAATCGGGGGATCACACCTAACGAGAACCCCTTGACTAGAACGCAAGCTTCCGAGTGCAGAAATCGTATGTCGCACTTCTTTTGGTCCTCTTACAGACCACAGCAAAACTCCAGGGCCGACAACGCAGTCGCTGAACGGCAACGCAATTTATTACTTCTTTGAGTATTATCAAGATGGATTCTTATAATGCTCAAGTATACTTAAATTTCTAATCTCTTCTAGTATAAGGTTTATGTTCCATGAATGGAATACAGCTGTCACATACAATGAATTAACTGCTGAAAAGTATTAATACTTTAAAAAAGTTTTACAACTGTTACAAATGTGAGTCACTTACACATTAGTCTAGTTAAATGAAAATACATCGCAGTTTAAATGGTTCCCAGTACGGGGGTGGGGAGAATACCTCAGCAGTGCAGGTGCAAATAGGGACTGCTCTAATCTGGTTTCAAGCTGGAAGGAAATTTTAGAGCAGAAAGAATTCTTAAAGCCAACCTCTTCACTTTAGAGGTGAGGAAACTGAGGTTTAGACAGGCTGTCCAACTTCCTCAAGAGCATACAACAAATTAGACAGTGAGCATGGAGCAGGCACAGGAGAGGGGAGTCAGAGGCCTGGGCACCAGCCAGAACCTCACTTTCCAGCAATGAAAACGTGGCCAGTTATTTGTCTCAGTCTCTGCTTTCTTATTTTCACACTGGGGCTGGGAGATACATTCTATTTAAATGGGTTTTAAATATATTCTGTATTTGGGTTTAAGGAACAACTGAGATTAATATACATCACTACTGACCATACTGAGGACTTCAAATCTGACTCTAAGAAACAGGATACGGTCAATAACGAATGGCTAATTTTATTATACAAGCAACTGAGCATGAAAATACATAATGGAAGAAACTAGACAGAGGCAGGTAAAGGATGTAGCTAAAAGAGAACTTATTTAATCACTAATGCTATTTAAATATACTAAGGAGAACTTGTAGGACTTATTAAACATATATACTGGGGCTGCCAAAAAAATGTACATACGTTTTAAGAGATGTTATCTATTCTCAAGCAGTAATTTACTTTAATCAGAAGTGTCCAGACGCTAATGGTAACCACTTTGAACACATCTTGTAAGTGAAAAGTCAAACGTGACTTGTATTCTTCTTTTGATACCAGTATATACTGAGTATTACAATCAATACAGTTTTTTCCTTTCTTAAAATGTGTATACATTTTTTTGGCTCTGTGTGTGTGTGTGTGTGTGTGTGTGTATCTAAAACTAGACCTTGATATCTACATATGTATGTCAAACATTATGTTCACAATTTTTTTTGCAGACATGGATTAACATTTCTTGGTATCTGCTTTGAATCATGGACTTGGAACATTGAAAAGTATTAGTAATTTTAGAAAATAAAATTATTTTAAACATAACTGCTGCAAGAAAGAATACTTGAAGAGTTTTATGGAAGTCATAAATTGTATCTCCTTCAAGCTACACTGGTATAAACTACAGACTTATCCAGAACTCTCTACCAAGGAGTCCTACAGTGCTGTCCATACTCACCTTTGCCCACATGCTTTCCTGTTTAGCATGTTATCTATGAGAACTGTTCAAAACTTTTTTTTTTTTAATCTAAGAGAAATCTAAGTAAAAGAAAATCTTAAACACATTAGGCACAGTGGTTTAGAGCATGTACTCCGGAGACTAGGGCTGTTTGGAATCCTGACCAGATCACTTGCCACCTGTGTGAGCTTAGGCAGTTATTTAACCTCTCTGGGCTTCAGTTTTTCCCATAGTAAAACAGAAATTGTATGTAGCACAAAGGGATATGAGGGTCTCATGAGAATGCACACAAAATGCTTTGCACAATGCCTGGCAATACAGTAAGTGATCACCAAATAGTAAAACATTTAAAAGAGAGTTATTATTTTTAGCTTTCCTATAACATCAGCAATGAAACCTTAATACATTATGGAGTTAATAAAGGTAAAAACAGTGTTTGCAGATCATTAAATAGAACAAGTATTTCCCTTTAAAATGAAAAAAAAAATTTAAATAAGCTTCCAAGCTAAGATACACATAAAAATGACCAAATCACACCCCAAACTTCATAAATCACCAAAAAGAGAAAAAGCCTCTGTACCTGACGTCTATTTCTACAGCATTCATGCTCCCGACTCCCTCTAAACCTACTTGTTAAGGGGCAGCTTCATGGAAGAACTGCCAGGTCGGCTGTTCACACGCTGAGCACCTCCTGCTTCGGCCGACTCTGAATCCTTGAAGTAGGGAGACGATGACTTGGGGTCGTCCCAGTCTTCATCCCAGTCATCATCATCACCGGTTGCTATGGGGTGGGAGTGGGGGTCACAGAAGATTGTCAGTAAAGAAAAACAAAATGAAAATGCAATGACTTAATTTCTGATAAAAACTGTTGGCTGGGTTAACCAATTAAAAAACAGGAGAAGAGGGTATAGTGCAGGGGTGTATGGAGACATGAAGAGTACAGGCTCTGTAGACAGCGTGAAGGGTTGAATTGCAGATTCTGCCTTTCAGTGCAAAATACAAGTCAGAAACAAGTTAAAGAGGACTGTCGGTGCAAGTAACTTCAGATAAATGCAGACTATAAAAATGCTATGCGATACATAAGGGAAGGCCTTCTAGAGGCCTATATGTTGATAAATCCAGCTTTATAAATTTGCAAATAAGCAGATCAAATACCCTTTAATCAAAAAGATTGGGGAGGACAAAAGGGATGACAGAGCTTTGAAAAGGAATTAACACTAATAATAATAAAGATGACAGAAGGGCAATGAGGAAAGATGAAAAAAAAAACCAGGTTGAGGAATGAAGGAGAACGGTAGAGAGAAAAAAATGGAGCGACAGGAAGTAATTAACCAGCATCAGGAGCCTAACGTAACGAAAATCTGCGTCGGAAAAGGGGCTGCCCGCTTCCCTCCTTCCTTCCTCTTCCCACTGTTCTGTGCCTGTCTGCACCTCTGATGGTCTGAGGTGTCCTTTTGCTGGTGGGCAGAAAACTGCCCCGAGATATCTGCCCTAAGAGTGCCAACATGAGAGACAAATGCTGACACAAAAAAGAAAATAAACTATTAGAAGGACCTGGGTCAAGCTTCCTGGGTCCACGCCAAGTTACTCCAGAATGAGATGTCAACAATCTGGTCTCAACACCTCTGCCTGGCCCCCGACCCCTGGTCCTGCCGACAGTCCAGCTCCTGTCTGCACAGGGGAGCTTGGAACCAGGACCTGTGCCCTCTACAGCTCCTGCATGCAAGCTGCTTGTCACTCAGCACGTGCAATTCCTGGAAGATATGCTCACACAGGGATCATACAAATAACAAGCAGATTTTTATCTATTTAATTAATTTCGGGACACACATAAAGACCCTTTCTTAATTCCTGAATTCTTTCCCCTTCTATAAGTTCCTTTTCTGCCTCCGTATTTCCATTAACAACCTGGGAGACAAACAGGTAGTTGATGACAGGATGAAGGAGCTAAGTCCGAGATCATAAACTGGCAGGTGATGAAGCATATTCAATCTGCACACACATTTGTTTGGCCCAAGACTTAAAAACAAATGTGTCAGTTGCTAAGATTTCAAAGTGGGACGATGACATAGAATAATCGAGGTTTCCAATCTGTCGCGGGCTGTGGCGGTCCAGGCGCGACAGCCGCATTCCTGCACCCATCTGCTGGTGAGAGGAGGACTGCCCCTTCCGTCTGCACAGCCCCACCGGCCACTCTGCTCTTTCGCTTTATGAACCTGGCCCCTGAAGAGTTTGCGTTTGTGACTCCTTGACAGATAAGACTGGATCAAAGATGACAATTAACAATTACCTACATTTGGATCCTGGCAAATAGGTTTGCTATTGGTGAACAGGAGCACCTGAGAGCAGTTCCTTTGATGAGAATCTCTTTTTAACCCAGATGCCCTTGTCACTTTACGGTGGCCCATCACCAGCAGAGCCCCTTCCTTACCTGGTCCTTGGTAGGCCTGGGGGTGACCAAAGGCAGTGTCCCAGTTATTGGAAGCATTTCTCTGGGCTGCAGCCCCCTCTGGCTTGGCTCCCCAGCCATCTGTGCTGTCCCAGTTTCCAGATTTGGGGGCACTCCAGGCTGACCAGGGGTCACTGCCACTGCTGACCTGTCGTCAGGGGTAAAAAAGGTGAAAGAATATTTGTGACTTCTAGAAAACATTACTCAATTCAGTAGGAATCACATAACAATAGAATACCATAGGGCTGCTGAAAGGAATCAATAGAAATTTAAAATACTTTTAAATTTGAATAAAATTCTTTAAACACGTAGGAAAGCACAAAAAGCAGCGTCAACTTGCTTTTACTGATGTTCTTGTAACATTTTGCCATATTTGCTTAGGAACTTTATAACCAGTAACACAGCAACCGTTCAGACTCAGCTGCCCCGCTCGTTTCTGCTCCCTTCCCCCCCAGGAAACAACTCTTTAGAACATGAATTCATTCCTGCGTATGTTTTTATACTTCTATTGCATATGTAGAGTGTAAATAACTTTCGTATTTTTAAAACTGAACTAAACATTATACTATATGTATCTCTTTCCAAGTTGTCTTTTTCTCCACTTAACACTGATGTTGAGCTCATACATGCTAATGAGAATCCGTTTTATTCACTTTAACTGGTTTGTAGCAATCGGTTGTGTTTTTAACTAGGTTTTTATTTGACAAAGTAATACACTCACAGTCTAAAAAATTCAAACAGAAAAAAATAACATGCAATTTAAAGATATACCTACCGTCTTACGATGTTAGTCCTTCTTTCACAGACAACTGCAAGTACCAAATTCCTTGTATATACTTACGCATCTCACACACTGAGATCCTGTGTTTTTAATGTTAAGTGAGCCCAAATTGTACTTTCTGCTCAGTACTTTTGCTTTGTTTGTTTTCACTTAAGAGCCTGAAACATTCTCCAAGGTACATCAGCACATATGGGCAACGCCTTCCTTTACCTGGCTCCGGAGTCTACTGAATTCATTCCCCATAATTTAACCAGTATACAGTGATGCTCCTTTATCTTGTTCTCAATATTTTGCTACTGTAAATCATGCTGCAACAACGCACATCCGTGTACGTCCTGCCTCCACGTGTCCAACTGATCTATGTGAAAGTCCCGAAGAAACAGTGCTGCGCTAATGAGACTGTGTATTTAGAATTGGCGGATTTTGTCAAACTGCTGTCCAAAGAGACTGCAGTTACATTCCTACACCCCTAGCTGACATGCCAAGGAATTTTGTCTTGCACAAAACAGCTACATGACACTCCAAATCTATTTTAAAAATATTTTTCTCCCATTATTCCTTTGAGTAATTTTATAGTTTAATTATTAACATTGTAAATAAAATTTTGGAACAAGTAACTCATGACATCCAATTTCAAGGAACACTGCAGTAGGAGCACCTGCTGTAGCACCCCCCATCCTTGCTGTCCCCACCTGAGGCAACCACGGGTTTTTGTTTCCTTGATTTTAAAAATTTAAATCGTTAACCTGTCTAGAATTTACTGTGGTATAAGAAACAATATAGGAGTCCAACTTAATTTTTTTCTTGTAGTCAGTCCGTTGTCCTAACACCATTTAGCGAATAATTCATCTTTCCTCCACTGATCTGAAATGTCACCTTTATCACATACTGGACATGGGGTTATTTCGAGACTCCACTGTGTCCTATTAATCTATGTGTATTAGCAGCAAGCTACTTTGGAGCCCAGTGGACACAATACCATTAGTACTTCAGCATAACATCTTTTATCAGTTTATTTTTACACATGAACTTTAGCATCAGCTTAATATTTTAAAACTAAAACAATCTGAACTTTAGCATTAGAATGTCAAATTTTAAAAATGTGTTGATTTTTATTTGAATCATCTTAAATTTACAGATAAATTCAGGGAAAACAAATAGTGCCTTTGTTTTCTTTTAAACAATTTCAGTGTTGAATCTGTTTATCCATGAACATGAAATAGCAAATTTCCCCTTCACTTGAGTTTTCTTCCTCACATGAAAAAAAAGATTGGTGTTAGGAGAGGGGGAGAGAGAGGGAGAACCCAAACTGTCTAATACACCTCTCTGATGTTTCAGAATTCTACAGTGCTTGCTTTTTTTACTGTTCACTGACAGATGGAATGGATAACTGCCTACCATATGCAAGAAGCATCGCAAACAGAACATATGTTTTACATGTGGAAGTGTGGTTTCATTCTAACATCTCTTATACACTGAAGGAAAAAGAAATGGAGTTACTAGTGATTTTGCTCTAAATAAAATATTAACATCAGAAACATTTCATCCATATGACTGAATTTCTCAAATGTATGATTTACAAGGTGATACTCTCAAGCCAGTCTAGTGAATACTGGAAATTGAGGCGTCATACTGAGGGTCTGACCACCACATCTCATGTAAGAGAATTCCTTCCATCCAGTTTCCTTTGAGGGAGTTTTATTCATATGTATATATATTTATTCATAAAATGCTGCACCCTCCAAACTCTAAACTATGAGGTTTTGTTTTTAGAATAAAAACTTCAAGAAGTACAAAAACTTTGTGTAGTAAGACGACAGTAAGTAGAGACATTCACGTGTCTCGTATTTCCACAAATGGTGGCAGGCTGAGGGCACAGCTTCCTTCCAGGCCAGGCTGCCAGGAGGCGGAATTCTGGCTCTACTTTCTAGTTGGGTAACCTCAGGCCAGACTCAGATTCAGAAAAACTGATAGAATGAAGTAACCTGCAAAGGAAGAGAAAGGTTATGAACTAGAACAATTGGAAGAGTGAAAGTTCAGCACTGCCATGAGAATAAGACTAAGTGTTAGCAAACTGTCGAAGAAAGACGTTCATCAATATTGAGGGGGAAAAAAAAATCAAATGTGGACTATTCATAGCAAGTACCCTAAAAAATTAAAATTTAGGACAGAAACACATAACATGATAGTTCTCTTTAAAACTTTGTTTACAAACTGCTTGGAATAATCGCTATATGATTTGGTTATGTATATGATCTTAGCTCTCTACCTGGGTTATGACATCGACATCCTCATAGGCAAACCTAGTAACTGTTTGCTTCTCTCTCTGTTTCTGTTATTTTTCCTGGAACAGTCCCTCTACCTTGTTTCACCCTGACGCCTGCTGATGCATCTTTCCAAACCTGAGCACTGGAAACCTCCTGTCCGGCTTCCCTCACTGACTTCTCTTTCTCATGCCTTCTGCTGACTTCCAGGGCCCTGCCTCTAATACTGAGAACTAAGAATCAGCTCGCAGAGTCTGTCACGTTGTCTCTCTCTCTGAACCTTCCCTTCCCATCCTTTGGCCTCTGATTTCTTTGCTTTTGACCCCCCAATAACCCTTGTTTCCCTTCTTGGTCATACAACAAATAATCTATTCTGCTCCTTTTTTAACTTTTCAAACTCGGAGGTACCGCTTCTCTTTCTCCCAGCTTTCACCTCTCTCCTTTCTACTCAGCAAAGTCTTCATGCTCTCCTTTCCCTCCCTTTATGGTACCAAACCCTCCTGACTCTATCAACCACATGTAATTACAAACCCTTCCTTAGCTCTCACTGACCATGCAATCAAGTCCAAGCTCCTTAGTCCATCAATCAAGGTCCTAAGTTTCCCTTCTATGCCATCCCCTCCCTTGCCCGCCACTAACCCTCACTCTGCTTCAACCTTCACAGTTCCCCACTTTCCCACATCCTTGCCTTTGAGCACGCTGTTCTCTCTAGCTGCACACAGGGCCTTCTCCCTCATCTCCTGAAATTTGGTCCAAGTCCTCCCCATTAAGGGCGCTGTCTCAGAGACTGCCTGCTGACAGCGTCACATCCTTCCATTCCTCAGAATTAGTCTTCCGTTAGAATAATTTGCATATCAGGGGGTCACTCCTACTAATAAGTCAAGGGCATTGGCCTGTCTTAATTTAAAAAACATTTCACCCTAAGATTCTCAAAATGCCTTAAATAAAGTGCAAAGACTCAAAATTTTTGTGGGTAAATATGATGTTCTTGATCATTTGTATGAAACACGTACATATTCTTTGTCAGACATCTAACAACATTATCATTATTTCACAAAGAGGGAAGTCAGGTTTCCTTAGGTCTTTTCTGGGAAAACCACCTGCTGTGGCCAATCACAGAATAAGTGATTTTCAGCATATGACACAGCCATACTCTTGAAATAACAATATCTCCCATGGGATAAAAGGTGTATCAGCACACAGTAGAGATGTTAGAAGATACAGACAGGTGTAGATGTACACAGGGATGGATAGACGTGTGATAAAGCAGGAATAGTAAGATGTTAATGGCAAAATCTAGAAGGTGGGTATATGATTATTCACTGTGAAATTCATTTAACTTTTCAATGCTTGAAGTTTGAACAAAATGTTAGTAAATCCAACAAAATTTACATACACAATCATTCCGTCTTCTGAACTCCTAATATTAGGATGCACGTGGGGGACACAGCAGGGCTGTGGCCATCAGGGTCAACAGTGATTCCCTGCTGTCTGTGACGATGGGGCCTGGCACATAGTAAGTGCTTAGTAAATTAAGTTTTTGTTAAATTAAAATGCTCCCAAAGTATGTTTGTCAGGATCGCTATTACAAATGCATTTCGACCTGCCTTGCACTAAAACTGGCTGCCTATATCCCACACTCTATCAGGTCCTCTGACAATTTTTAGTTTTAAACTCAATTTTCAGTCCCATGCCAACTAAATTAAATGCTCCTTAAGCCCAGGAGCAATCTAATTCAACACATTTGCATATTTGGCACTATCCTGTCCTCATAAGACAAATGGAGAAATACATTTACTTGGCTTTATATCATGAGACTTATTTAAATATATCCACTGGAAGGATTATAGTATTAGGTTAAGTTTCTTCAGAGAGCAGACTAGCTTGAACCTGACTGTAGAACCAGAAAGACCACTGAATGGAGTCAGAATGGCCATGAGGGAGTGGGCAGCAATGGGTGTTCCTGAGATGATAATTGTGGGAAAGCTGTGCGTGTTACAAATGCATAATATGGGTAAAAGGGGGCAAGCATAAGAATACGGGTCCACAGAATTTTAGATCCCAGGGACCATTTGATTCAAGGAAATTTTACGTGGGTATAGC